TAGTGTGGGGAAGCGCCAGGCAAGGGGAGAAAATATAAATAAGAAATGAGAATAAATAACCTCATTAAGGCAAAGAAAATTTGCTCAACTCTGTGTAAGTAACTGAAAAACCTCAACTAAATGGCAAATGCTCGATGAAAAGAAAGATTGTTAGAAGAGATACAAAATCCAAATCATGGATAGGGGTAACAGGGACAAGAAAGTTTCAAAGAAACACCCTCCGCTAAAAAGATGAATACATTCAAGCCCAGGCGCATTCATGGGTGACTCTAAATGGAACAATCAAAGCCAGTATCATTCTTAATAGGTACTACAACTACAAGTATTCCCAGTAAAGCCAGAAACTAGTTAAGAATGATCACAATCACTATTATTAATACTTAACGTGTAGGAGGGCATTGCCTAAGGGAACTTGACAACAGAAAAAAAATACACGAAAAATCAGAAAGGAAGAGACTAAATTATAACATTGTAAACCTGGAAAACCTAAGAGAATCAACTGGAAACTATTGCAAACAATATGACAATTCAGAAACCTGGCTGGGCACAAGATTATTATGCAAAAACCAATAACTTTCCTCTAACACAAAGCACAGCCGATTAGGTAATAGAATGAGAGAAAAGATTCCTGTTACAGTAATAAACAAAGAAATAAAAGATCAAACCAACAAGTAACGAGCAAGAACTACATGAAAAACATCAGCTACTACGTACTGAGTGGCACAAAAGAAGTTGTGAGTAAATCAAAAGGCACGCCCTGTGTCTGGTAGGAAAAACTCAATTTCTTTAAAGCTGTTAATTCTCCTTTCACTTATCTATAAATTTCAGGACACCACAACAAAGAGCCAACAAAAATATCCAGGAAAATTCTGAAAAAAAATAACCCAAACAGGGTGTCTGGTTAGCTCAGTTGGTTAGAGCATGGTGCTGATAACACCAAGGTTGCCAGTTCGATCCCCGCATCTGCCACTGTGAGCTGCGCCCTCCTTAAAAACAAACACAAAACAAAACAAAACAAAAACACCCAAACGAACGGGTAGCTAGTCAGATCCCTTCCTCACTCCTCGCCTATTCTGGAAGGAAAATGCTCAGGAAAGGAGCATTATACTGGGAGCCTCTTTCCTTGAAGAACAACTGGGAAAGGGCCCCAGAATGGTTTCCCTAAAGGGACCCAACTCTATCCCCTCCCTCCACACCCAACATCACTATGGTGTGGCACAGCCCCAGCTCCTTGTCGCCCACAACTTCTCAAGTCCGCAATCCTGGGCAGCCTTGGGTCTTCAAGCAGAGAGATGTAAAACACCATGTTCCTGAACTGTCACCATCGAGC